ACATGTATAATGGCAGCTAGAAGCACCTAATAAAATGTCTCCTGTTAACTACAGTGTGTGAGCATCTGAGCAGGATCGACTAACAGAACACAGCCCATAAAAGTATCATTTAAAACTAAAATTTTAAAAACATGCCATTTAATAGATATATGTATGCATTAAAGAAAGTGTTACATTTATTTGATATTGAGTCGGGTATTTATTCTATTTCTATCTTGAAATCAGAAATCTGTATAATTCTGTGTTCAGTAACATACAACTTGGAAAAGGAATGTGAGTATTCCAAACTAATCAGAGCTTTGTTGCTTTGTACTTTGCCACCAGTAAATAGTCTGGAAGTGCTTACAGCAGAGGGTTGCACAGCAAAGACCTCTACTTCATTGCGCAATCAAGAGCTAGAGGCAGGTTGGTGCCAATCTATATTTATTAATCTGCAGAAGAGAAAAGTGAAGTCTCCAACCTGTCTATGGTGTCTAATAGAAGTGTCTAGATCATAAGATGGCCTGGTCAAAATTATACATTTCTTGGCATGTACAAGGTGGTATCAAAACGTTTTGAGTGTGCCAAAAGATATTGTCCTGTGTACATCAGGAGTTGTGCAATTGCTGCTATTCTGACCATGTGCATTGCCACATCTGCTATTTCACCATGGACAGTAAATTGGAACAAAAAGCAAGTGTTAAATTCTGCATGAAACTGAGCAAATCTGCCACAGAGATGTTTGAGCTGATTCAACAAGTTTACACTGATGCTGCAATGAGTCATTCAAGGTGTTTATTTATTTCAACTGGCTCTATATAACGCTGTTGTGCTTTACAAAGCAACTGGATGAAGTGGATCCTTCCAAAATATTCCAGGAAGAGATCATCATGGCCCTTTTGTATCCAGAAAGTGCTGTGACCCAAACCCTCAACTCAGATGCTGCGAGCTGGCTGCATGAGATGCATTTTCTCAATGCCATTCCTGGTATGGTAACCCAAAAGGCACCCCAAAAAAGATGTGTCTTTAGCAGGCATGGAATTAGGCGTGACACCTGCTTTTTTGTCCCTCCTGTCCTGGCGAACCTGGTCTCTGCCCCAGGGACTGCTTCCGTCGCTACCATACACTAGTGGACTATTAGTATAGAGTAGAACACAGCACAGTCTAGGGTACACACATGCACAGGGTCTTGAAAGATGTTAGGTAGTCAGGAAACTGGCTATCGCATTTTGAGAGACCCTACCATCTGGATAAAAGTTTAAAATAAAGTAAAAAAATATAAAAGTAAAAAAAAAAGTAAATTAAAAAAACAAAAATAGTTGTTGTTTTATTGTTGTAGAGTTACTTTTTCACTGTTATGGTTTTATTGTTACTGTTTCATTGTTAACCATTGCTGTTTTCTTTGCAGGAATGCCATTCGGCTGTAGCTGAATCTGAATTTTGTCATTTACCAAAAACTTGTGAAAAAAAAATAAATTTTCCATGCACTCAACATGACTCTCAGCAGATAGCTTAGAGTGTCTACTCTCCGAAAAGGGGTCATTTGGGGGTGTTTGTACTGCCCTGGAATTTTAGCACCTCAAGATTGTGATAAGCAGTCAGAGAGTAAAAGCTGTGTAAATTCCATTATCTATACCATAGTTTGTAGATGCTATAACATTCACACAAACCAATTAATATGCAATTATTGGGATTTTTTTTTAAAAAGACATGTAGCAAAATATATTTTGGCCTAAATTTATGATGAAATTTGAGTTTATTGGATATTTTGTATGACAGAAATGAGAAAATATGGGGGGGGGTTTTCAAACTGTTTGGTCTTTTTTGTTTATAGTGCAAAAAAAACCCAGAGGTGATCAATACCACCAAAAGAAAGCTCTATTTGAGTGGAAAAATAATATGTTTCATTTATGTACAGTATTGCATGACCGTGCAATTGTCAATTAAACTAGAGCAGCGCCATATAGCAAAAAATTACGTGAATTCCAATATCTATATCATAGTTTGTAGACACACAAAGCAATTAATATACACTTATTGGGATTTTTTTTACCAAAGGCATGTAGCAGAATACATTTTGGCCTAAATTTATGACTAAATGTGAGTTTACTATATATTTTTTCTTACCAAAAGTAAAAAATATCTTTTTTTCAAAATTTTCAGTCTATTTTTGTTTATAGCGCAAAAAATAAAAACCCCAGAGGTGATCAAATACCACAAAAAAAATCTCTATTTGTGTGAAAAAAAAGAAAATAAATGTAATTTATGTACAGTATTGCATGACCACACAATTGTCAGATAAACTAATGCAGCACTGTATAGCAACAATTGGCTTAAATTCCAGTATCTATACTATACCAGAGTTTTAGACGCTATAACTTTCACACAAAGCAATCAATATACACTTATTGGGATTTTTTTTTTACCAAAGACATGTAGCAGAATACATTTTAGCCTAAATTTATAACTAAGTTTGAGTTTACTATATATTTTTTATAACCGAAAGTAAAAGATCTTTTTTTCAAAATTTTTGGTATTTTTTTGTTTGTAGCACAAAAGATAAAAAAAAAAACAAGAGGTGATCAAATACCACCAAAATAAATCTCTATTTGTGTGAGAACAATTGCATAAATTTTGTTTTGGTGCAGCATTGCATGACCGCACAATTACCAGGTGAATTAGCACAGTGTCGTAAGGCAAAAAATGGTCTGGTGAGGTAAATCCTCTGGAGGGTGAAGTGGTAACATTGGATTAGTTGATTATGTATGCAATTGCTAAATGCAAAGCTGTTTAACAGTCTTTAAATATAGTGATATTTTGTGTACAGATAACATGACAAGTTCAATAAATTAAGCTGCTCAATATGATTGCTTTATCAATGTATCTAAATAAGGTTTACATAATGCTTCTTCATACAACGGTGAAGGGAAGTTATTTACACTGGAGAGGTTCTTTTTTATCAGTGGATACATTTAGTAAAGCCTTTTCAGAACTTATTAACAGAGTATATTGCCAAGACCAGGCATTTTCAAAATGTATTTACAAATGTAGTCAATTCTATATACATAAGTTACCTCTCTGCAGATTTTGAAAGTCAGTCAGTAAACATCATTTCACATCTTTCCTCATCTTAATTAGTACTCTTTTACTAGTAAGTATTTTCATTTGTAAACAAGCACGCAATGTTTTATATGACACTTTGTATAATTATGTATAATGTTTATCATCAAAGGAAGTTTGCAGCAAAATTAATCTTGTCAGGAGTAATAAAACAAACCATCTGCCACTGCAAGTACAGGAGACCTCACAGGATAAGATCTCTGGCTTGATAGTTTTCCTACTATCAGTTCGATTAAATCCTATGTAGATTTGGCTGTTGACTCTATTATGGTATTACATATAATTATAACATTACCATTTTTCTAGCTTTTGGATTTTGCGAGAAGCACAATAGGTTTGTGAGGGGGCTTATGATTGGGCGACAGTTAGAGCTTCCGCTCTGTTTCTTCTTGGATCGGACTATCAACAGTCCATTGCTGGGGAGGAGCCAGGGTGTGACGTCACGCCGCTCGGGCCACGTGTCAGGCCGGCGGCCATCTTTATTGCTGTATCGCACTGTGAGTGCTTTTGTCCTATTGTATCTACTTTTGCTTGGCAATCCCTTTTTCAATAAAATACTACACAATCAGAACTTTCTGTTTGGGCTCGTTTGATTGCGAGCCCCCCCCCCCAAGGTGGATTCTTTTACTGCTCTGCATCTGCCATTGAGTGAGGTCCCCCTGCTGGTTATTCATGATACCTGGTACCTGGAGTGTGATCTTCCTGGTGGATGGCTGAGTGATTCCTGATCCCTGGAGGCTGATGACCCTACGATTACCTGTCTTTCTGCTGGTTGGCCAGTTGATCTGTGGATGTTCATCTTTCTATACCCAGAGGACCAGGAGTGGTTTAAGTACTCCAATGCGCATATGATTGCACTATCTGGTTAGTGCAATCTACACTCATTTTTTACATAACTGGAGTCACGTTTTTCACTTCTGTATGGAGTTTTGGACTTATGTGCTTATTTGTATCACTTTATTATTAAAGTTCACCACCTGCACAATATAACGTCCGTAGACATTCATTGCACTTGAATTTAACTTCAGCGCAAATATATCTGCTTATATCATATGTGTTATTCGATTTTTAGCGCTGCATATATATATATTGGATTTTGTGAAGGTTAAGAGGTTTTGCCTTTATGTCAGCTGCTTTTTCCTGCACTACCTAGCGCTCGTATACTTTTTTTCATTGTTTTAAGTCCACTGCTGGTTGTTAGTAGCCTTCACCATCTTGTCCCCAACTCCTTGCCAGAGGCCTACTCACAACAACCCCAGCCTTTTAGCCTTTATATTCATAAGAAAGGAATATCCTTACAAGAAATATATTTTCCACACTTTACTAATATTTTTCAAAGATGGCAGTGACACATCACATCACATAGACATACTGAGAGGTGTCTTCAGCATACATTGCCATACATTAAAGTAGACAATCTGTAGCAGTCATTGTAAAAGCAGAACATTTCACATCAGACATAAGCCATCTTCCCTTAGCATCTCCTCTCTCCTCTCCTTGGGAGCACCACAGTGTTCGGACCAATATTCCTTTATACTAGATCTGTAACGGTCTGCTATAATCAACCCAAGATTTACAAGTTGAAGCATTCTACTCTGCCAAGATTAACAAGGTGCTTTCTGTCATATACCAGTCTCTTTTCTATGTTCCACTCCATAGCTCTACCCAGCAGGGTACACTCCCATATTTTCCCAATTCCAAAGTTATTTTCTTTCTCCCAGGGTCATTAGTACTTGCTCAGAGGGCGCTGATTGCCCATTATGCTTTACACATCCAGCTCACAACCAGGGGCGGACTGACCATTCGAGCTCTCGGGCACTGCCTGAGGGCCCAGGGTCAGTAGGGGGCCCCATGAAATGCCCCTTGTACCTTTTTATAGGCTTTTTTGGCTGTGCTTTGAGTGGGGGCAAGGACACAGGGGCCCCATGATCCCCTATTGCCCGGGGGCCCCATGAGTTGTCAGTCCGCCCCTGCTCACAACTCCCTTCATGTTGTTTCAGAGACAGGACTTCTGCAACTGCACCTCTAGTTTGTGTACACTTCTCCTAGGACCTTCAGGGTTATTAGTAATAATGACAGAGAATAGACTGGCCTAAAAGGCCTTTGCATCCTGCTCCCACTTAGGCCAGGGATAGGCAGCCTTTAAGAGTTGGCTATCAACCTGAACAAAATGAGAAAAGTCAAAGATCACCGAGCACAAATTTAAACTTCTAATTGCCATACTACCATGTCACAAACCGCAACACATCAGTGTCAAAGCAGCCCTATACTATTATTCCCAGTGTACTGTATTGCACTGACTTGAAGATTTTTTTCTTCCCCGCTGCTGGCACCAGTCTGGAGACTGCTAGGCGGGGTAAGAGGTGGACGGCAGTTGGTATCACTCCACATGAGACAGGAGCCAGCACTAGAGAAGAGGATTCGGCTTATGCAGCCCTTGCTCCCTACTACAGCTCCAACTTTACAAGTAGTCCCTCTGCATTACACTCTATTTGATGCTCTGGGATGGTGGTACAGCAAGACCAGATCGTGATCTACCAGTCACCTAGCCAAGATCTACTGGTAAATCATGATCTACTGGTTGCTGACTGCTGACCCCTGACTTTGACCATGTTTTGAGTCAGGATTACTAAAGCTGTCTCTTCTAGGTATTAGACTAGTTTATCCTGACCTTCTGCCCTGTTGTAGGGCCTTGCAGTAGATGAATACTGTACATCTGCATGGCTGTGGGGTGTTTGGCTCTGATGCCCTGATTCACCCAGGCTCCTCCGCTCCTGGCATTTATATGGGTACTAGCGCCACCCATTTAATGACTACAGGATGACATAGAGGGAGATTTACTAAAACGGGTGCATACAGAATCTGGTGCAGCCATGCGTAGTAACCAATCTGCTTCTAACTGCAGCTTGTTCAATTAAGCAATTATGCTTGTTCAATTGACTATAAAACATAGAAGCTGATTGGTTACTATGCACAACTGCGCCTGATTCTGTGTGCACCAGGTTTAGTAAATGTCCCCCTTTGTCTAAAAGGGAACCTAACACCCAATTATATAATAACCTATTAACACAACTTTGAGACAGATCCACCCAACAGATTAGTTAACTGCACCTGCTTACAGGCTTTTTCAGTCTTATGGTGGTGCACAGTCCCAGTCCTCAATGACCTATAAAACCTTGTACTTTGGTCTTTAAGTGACAGTGTCACATGCTCCCCCACAACTGAAAGCCCTGGATCCTAATTTGGTTTGCAGCTTATGTGTCCAAACGTTCTAATACACAACCTATGTTAAATGGACAGTCATCAGAATGGGTGTCCCTGCTTTTACCTTCTGCTCCAGTGACAACTTTAAAAAATAACAGATTTTACATCACATCTTGGCCAAGTGAACAGGGCAGATAGGGTAATATTCACTTCTTGTTGAAGGGCTTTCAGCATTAAAAACATATACAAACTTAACAGTTAGACAAAATATCTCTCACCTCTAGCCTAATTATAGCTGTTAACCTGACCCTTACATTCAACTGTTATCCTATCCAAAATCTTTCCAAAAATGTGACCTTTCAATCCTAACTTGCACCCTAATTGTTAATTTTAACCCTTAGTGCAAGCTCTACATGATTCCCAAAAATAGTGCTGCACTGCCCCCTAGTGACCCAAAAATAAACTATTAATAAATAAACACCTTGCTAAGCATCATTCCTGAAGAAGTCACGTGATTCGTGGTGTAACGTGTAGGACAGAAGCTTGTGACATCTTTGCTGCGTGCAGGAGCCTCCATCTGTGTTCACCCTGCTTTTCCATTAAATGCTTGTTATAGGTTCTGTGAAACTTGTATCTATGTGAGTGGCTTTTTTAAACGTGTTTATGGTAATAATGCCTTACTACACTATAAGGAGTTCCTTATCTTTTGAGCACCTATCCATCGGAGTGGGGATGTAAAGGATTGTTCCTGAGAGTGCCTGGAGTGAACTGTGGAAGCAGAGGATCGAGTGGGATTCATACTGAGCGCATGTTGACCTATATTTTCTATGGGTCAGCTGTTAAGATGAGCGTGCATGCATGAAGGTGGAGGAGCACGATAAACTTTCACACCTGTTGAAGTCACGGATGCATTACTTTAAATGTTGGAAGAGATTGTTTTATCACTTGTGGACTGCATTTTTCACTTTATTTAGTGATATCCTTCATTTACCATTTATCTATTTTGTGTATATTCAGTAGAGCTGCTTATCTTTTTTTTATTATGCACTTTTTGTGAACTTCTAGCCCAGTTGAACATTTACTTGATCTATCACCTATTTATTCCATTGGGGGAGGGGGGGGTGATTGCTCAGCCGCACATTTATTTTACAACCATTTACTACTGTTTTTGTTGGTTTTCACACTCTAAGTTTCAGCTCAGCTGGGTGTTTATTATAGCTCGGCCAGATGTTTACTGATATTGTGATCGTATTTTATTTCCGATATACATTACACTTATTTATTACCATTCTTGTAGTTTTTTACACTTTATTCTTCAGCTCAGCTGGGTGTTTATCATAGGTTGGCCAAGTATTTATTGCTATTTGTTTATGGTTTATTTTTTATATATGTTTTACATATCATTTGAATTTAGTGGCTCAGCCAGTTTTTTTCATTTACTATTGACTTTTTTTATTTCACAGATTTATTCATTTACACATTGGGTTTGATGCTCAGGAGTGTGTTTATTTATTATTATTGGGGTTTTTTTTTTGGGTCAGTAGGGGGCAGCACAGCACTATTCTTGGGGAATTTTATTGATGTGGGAAAACATTTAGTCGCTTGCAGCAGCTTATCATCAATTTGTAGCAGCACATGAGTATCATATCCTTATTTAAGCTCTAAATGTAACCCTTAGTACTTAACTTGGAACAAACACTGAGCCCTCCCTATAACACTGAAACCTTAATTTAAAGTTTATTTCCACTTTTGCAGCAAATTGGGAAGAAACATAGAAATACAAAGAGGTGCTTCTCCAGGTTGGGCCACTCTTGCCCCTTAAAAGCCAGGTGTGGGTCCAATGACCATTCATAACCTCTGAATTAATGGATTTCTTTAGTCTTACAAGAAATTGGCACAAATGGTACATTTCAGGAGAAAATCCATTTACATGTTTCATACTCTCCAGTGCTTGATCAAAGAGTGATCAGTTGAGGTCCAAGCTGATCCTTTTTAAACCGCTTCCATACAGGGCACTTTTACGCCCTTCCTGCCCAGGCCATTTTTTAGGTTTCAGCGCTCTCACACTTTGAAGGACAATTGCGCGGTCATACAACATTGTACCCAAACTAAAATTTTCTCATTTTCCTCACACAACTAGAGCTTTCTTTTGGTGGTATTTAATCAACACTGGGGTTTTTTTATTTTTTGCTAAAATTAACAAAAAAAGACCGAAAATCTTGAAAAAAAACACGTTTTTCTTTGTTTCTGTTATAAAAGTTTGCAAATAAATAATTGTTCTTCATAAATTTAGGCCAAGATGTATTCTGCTACATCTCTTTGGTGAAAATAACCCAAATTAGGATGTATTTTTTAGTTTGTAGAAAAGTTATAGAGTTCACAATCTATGGGATATATCTGAATATTGATCAATCCTGAAGTACTGACAGCCAATCTAATTTCTTGAGGGCCAAGAATGTCAGAACAGTACAGATATCCCCCAAATGACCCCTTTTTACAAAGTAGACAGTCCGATGTACTTCATAAGAGGCATGGCGAGTTTTTTGAAGTTGTATTTTTTTGTCATAAATTTTTGGAAAATTAAAAAATTTAAAAAAATATTTTCACTATTTTTCTTTACATACTGTCACCAGTGCAGTACAGCGTCATAATATAACTGGCATGACGGTGATCAGGGACACTGGCTGGTGACAGTATGAAAAAAAAAAAAATATATAATTTATTTTTTTTTTTTTTTTAATTGTTTATTAAATTATTTTCTTTTTTTAAGATTTTTTTTTTCATATTTCACTATGACCAAACTAGTACAATGTTACCATAGTAACATTGTACTACTTTGGGGAAGTGATCAGTATTTTATTTTTTTTTACACAACTTGCTTATAACAAAGAATTACTTTGCTATAAGCAAGCATTTACCTGAATGACATTGATTCATTCAGGGTTTTTTTTTTCTGTGCTTAGCTGTGATTTGGCCACGGCTAAAAACATGACACAGCTGGGCTGTGATTGGCCCAGCTTGTGCATGTGATCGCTGTGACCATTCACAGCTAGACACACTAGTATACAATGGATGGCATGAATGAAGCAATCCATTGTATACAACTGTCATGTGACCTGCTGTGATTGGTCCCAGCAGATCACATGGTTCCGGCAACGGGGCCGGTACTCAGATCTGTCATCGGCCGCGTCCAAGGTACACGGCCGGTGACAGATCGTGCCGCTGCGCGGCTCTGCAGGCATGCAAACTGCACATGCCCGAAAGGGCGCCATATGGCATCCACCCGGAGGGACAAGGGGTTTTGCAGGCCGCCATCTGGCTATAGGCCGGGCGAGAACCTGTTAACTCCTAACAGGGAAGTAACATCAGTTTAGCTGCAGGTTCCCAAGAGAAGCATTACATACAACCATTAAAAAATGCAATGTATAAGTAAAATGGAATGTATAAACATATACTGTCACTTTTAAAGAGAACCTGCCAAACTAATTTAAATTTTTTTTACATAATAATGATAAATTATATACAAAGTGAATAAATTCCAATGTTTACAAATGTACGGCTATATTACTATTAGCTGTTGTTGTACACCCATCCATGTACAAGAGGTAGAATCAGTGTACTATTCATAAAAGTATTAAACATTACAGGTTTCCAGTAGAATAGTAAAAATTCAGTAACCCCCCCCCCCCCCTCTTGCACAGCTGTGAAAATACATAACCTCCTTTCATAAAAGATCTAACTCTTTATATCTTTTGAATATTTGGCAAGTCAGTTTTTCATAAAGACTATGAATACAATTCTGGTCACATAAGTTAGATGATTTTTTTTTTTT